CAAACCACCAACTGGGAGAAAATATTTGCAAATTACATATCCAACAACTAATTCATATCCAAAACATACAAATAACTCTCTGGATAAAAAGAAAATAATCTAATTTTTAAATGGGCAGAAAACTTATAAAGGTAATCCAAAAAAGACACGCAAATGACATCTACATGAAAAGATGTTCAGCATCACAAATTGCTAGGGTAATGAATATTTAAACAGCCACAAGAGTCTACCGCATACCCTTACTAAGGCTCTTAAAAATACTTTATCAAATATTGGTGAGGATGCAGGGAAACTACACTTCTCATACATTAGTGGGAATATAAAAATTGTTCAACCGCTATGAAAATTAGCCTGCAGTAGTTTTAAGAAGATAACACATTTACCATCTAACCAAACAATAATGCTCTCAGGCATTTATACTAGAAAGATGAAAACATGTTCACATAAAACCTGCACACTAATGTCATAGAAGCTTTATTTCTAATCGCAATAACTTGAAATAACACAAATGCCTTTAAACGTGTAATACATTTAACTGTTTCACATTATACAATAGAATACTCCTCAGCAATAAAAGTAATAAACTACAATATATGCAACAATTTGGCTCAATATTAGTGGAATCAGGCTTAGCTGAAAATGCCAATCTCAAAAGTTTACATACTATATGATTCATTTTGTATAAAATTCTTGGAATTAAAAAAAAAAAAAAGAGTGCACAGCTATTTCCAGAAGTTAGGAAAACAGGATGTATGTGACTGTCAAGGGCAGAATGAAAGAACTGCTTTGTGGGACAGAACATTTATGTACCATGACTTCAGTGATGGACATACAAAAATCAACACGTGTAAAATATAGCATTATACACAAAAACATGCAAAATGTGAGTACTTTAAAAAAACAGTGAAATCTGAGTAAGGTATGTTCTGTAGTCTGATTTATCATATTGTTCTCATCAGTGCCCTTGTTGGATAATGTACTAGAATTATGTTGGGAAATTATGCATGATGCGTACATGGAACCCCTCTGGACTATGAACTATTTTTGAAACTACTTTTGAGTTTATAATTTTCCAAAATCCAAAAGATTTTTTAAAAATCTTAGCTCAGCTAGTATCAAACAACATAAATTTAAAAAAAAAGAATCCTACTATACACACAATAATCAAACTGTAGATGCTCATAGGTAAAGAAAGCAAATTTCAAAAAGTGAGTGATAAATTATTTTGCTATTTATGTCAGAGGCTATGTTGGGTTCATTTATCCATTTATCCATGTCTTCTTACTCTCACAATCATAATTTTAGGTATTATGATCTCTGTTTTCAAATGGGAGAGCAGACTCAGAAAGTCCTCAAAGCTGCTAACTAACAATAAGGGATTTACCAGGCCTAATATACTGAAGTCCATTTTGTCCAAATAAGTAATTTTGTTTATATGCCCATACATTTTCAATGCACCTTCTTAATTAATCAAGGACATAATATACATACTGAGTATAATTTTATCCCTTATTGTTTCCATATAAAATCAGAGGAATGTAATATGTTACTCCTTTCTGGACTGTATCATTTCTATTATTAAAATGGAAGAAATTATCATGTTGAAGCTAATTTGTATCAATAAAGGTACATTAGGTTACAAACAGCAGTAAATATCTCAGGCTACCTAAGGCAAACCAAGAATTTATTGAATGGTTAGTGGGGATGCTTGATAAATAAAAAAAGAGATTAAAAAAAAAAGAGGAACAGAAGCATTCCAGTAGTAGAGGCTCATGGGCCTTAATGTGAGTTGCAAAGGGAAACCCACCACTAACCACCACAAACTCTTTCTTATATTTTGATTTTCCAAGTTATTAGTGCAGATTGATCCAACATAGACTAATGTTTACCATGAGGTCAATCAGGGAAGCCAATCAGTGAAGTAATGACTTCATTTGGCTAGACTGACTTGCCCTCATATTTGTTCTGAAGGCAGAGCCTCTTATCAAGGGAAGAAAGAAAGGCTTTGGCAGATCAAAGCAAAAGCAACTTAACCCATCTCTTGTTTTCTATGAACTTATACACACACAGGTAAACATATAGTTGTTATACATATTATTTGTTTATGCAAACTCAAGCTTTAATAATTTCAGTAGGGTAAAAGCTACAAATAATGAAGAACATCATTTGAAAGTTGAACTAATAATATTTTAATTTCCCCTTTCCTATATAGTTTTGTGAATTTTCCATAATATTTTTAAAATTTTTATTTTTTGTTTCTGCCCTTATGATTGAAGATGCTGGAGCGACAAAGAAAGATTAAAATTAATTTTTGACAGTGCAAATATTATCCATGTAAATCATATACAAATAATTGAACATGCAAATTACATTTTCCAAAAATTGGTAGCTTTCACAGCTCTAAAGTTATTAAGCTTAAAACTGAATTATGACCTGTATATACACATATTGTCTGTCTCAGATGATTTTTACACGTTCCATCATTTCTACTATAAGAAGTGTTTGTGCATCTACACCTACACAAGTCCAGAGAAGCCAAGGGGTGTGTTTTAATTGCCTTGGGCTTTATCCAGTAACTTTTCCTCTCTCAATAGTAAGAATGTCTGTCTTTCAGCCAAGTAAATGTACAAGTGAGTATGTAAAAGGGAGATAAGAGGAAAAAGTTTATGTTCATTTAAATAAAAAGATATGGAAAAATAACTTCGAGATAAATGCATGGGCATGAGTACACGGGAGAAGGGGTATTAGAGTCTGTACTAAATTCAGCAGTGTCCACACTTGTTTGCATCATGTATGTGTTCATGGATTTATATGTGGGGGAAGGTAATAAAATTGGAGTTAAGGACAATTATCTGGGCTAGAGAACAAGGCAATCAGCCAGGTGTTCAAGTCCTGTTCTATGTGAACATTTTCTCCAGAGTTTGGCATCACATTTATCAGGACAACTGAAAGGAGCCACAGAGAATCAGGTACATGTGCCTCCGGCCAACCCTACCTTGATGCTGTGGTGTTCACAGGGGCCGCTGGGCTCTCATGAGATCATGGGAATGTGCTGGACATCATCGTTTGAAATCTTCAGGCCACCGGGTTTGTGTCACTGTATGAAAAATGAATCAGAGAAGGGAATCCACTCAGTGAAGAAAGCAGCTTTTCATACTTTAGTGACAAGCGTTTATTGTCACTATTGTGACAGTATTGTTGTCACAATATTAAATTAAAATATTGTCTCAACATTTCCTGCATTATATAGAAAATTCAGGAAAATTGATAGGTTCCATTCTAATTGTGACTTTTGGAGCATGGGAGAAGAGTCCTTCATTCATTCCATTAACTAAAAAGACACACTCTCATTTACTGCAGTATGAACCTGGCTTTGCAGCTTTGTCTGTATTCCATTCCTCTGCTGTTCAATTAGAATAACACGATCGATGCTATAACAAAGAATAAGATGTAAGAATGGTGATTCTTCATTCAAAGATATGGAGGTCCTCCAGGAAGAAATGTATTAAAAGTTTTCAAAATGGTTCATGGCATAAGTGTCAGTGATATCTGACAGTTTTGAAGAGACAGCCAGAACTACTTGCTCATAGTATACAAGAAGGGAAACTCTTTTCAGAAAAAAAAAATTAAAAAGGATTTGATTAGTTGTTTATTTCAAGTAATTACACCTCAGTAGTCTCCTCCCAGGTATGAAATCACTAGACAGATACTGAGATCTCACACTCAGAGAAAGGATAGAACCATGATGGGCCTGCACACCAACCCTTCCTCAAGATAGAAGGCCTGTCTCTGTCCTACCCTGTGATTCTGGGAGGCAGGCCAGGGCATAAACCTAGAGGGGATGGGACACTGGTGACCTCTGGTTTATCTAGGAGTAGTTGGCCAGGCCTTCTCTGCCCTGCTGAACTGCTGGCCATTCAGTCACTCAGTCATGTCTGATTCTTTGTGATCCCATGGCCTGCAGCACGACAGGCTTCGTTGTCCTTCACTGTCTCCTGGAGTTTGCCCAAATTTATGTACATTGAGTCAGCGATGCCATCCAACCGTCTCATCCTCTGTGGCCCCCTACTCCTCTTGCCCTCAATCATCCCCAGCATCAGGGTCTTTTCCAGTGAGTAGCAGAATTGCTAGTCAGGTATTTTTTCCTATCCCTTCCAAGGGAGTGGACAGGAGACATTCTCATTAATTTGTCATCAACCAAATATTCCACAATATTCCACAAGCAAAGACAGCAAGGAGATCAAACCAGTCAATCCTAAAGGAAATCAACCCTGAATATTCAAAGGATGCTGAAGCTGAAGCTCCAATATTTGGTCACCTGATGTAAACAGCTGACCCATTGGAAAAGAAATTGATACTGAGAAAGATTGAGGGCAGAAGGAGATGGGGGTGACAGAGTGTGAGATGGTTGGATGGCATCATTGATTCAATGGACATGAGTTTAGTGTCCCGGACTATCCAGGAGATACTGAAGGACAGGGAAGCCTGGCATGCTGCAGTCCATGGGGTCGTAAAAGTCATATACGACTGAGTAACTAAACAACAAAAAAATATTCCATTTCCAAGAATACATTATTCTGAAGGAAATTATTCATTACAGTGATTATGGGACCTTGGGAGGCATCACTGGTGGATGCCACCTTTTCTCAGAATCCTGCATCCTAAATATTCTTGACATGATCTCTTACCCCTCCAGTTCTCACCCCTTCTGTGATCTAGTCCATAGCAGTTTCACTTTCGTCCTTTTCTCACTTGTAGTGGTGGAGAAGATATACTGCTGTTCATTTGTCTTTAGTTTGCATAAGGACATCTTGCTCTTCTGTATGGTGATATCTGCCTTCCTCTCCCCTCTCCTCAAGAGAGCAGTGGATAATATTAGAATGGGTTCTCTGCTCTTTGGGTGGTGTGCTAACAAAGATGCATAAACAAAGACAGGTACTGTGGCTGCTTAGAGATGAAGCCTCCTCAGTAGAGGTTGGCCTCCTTCATTTCCTCTCTTTTTAGGCCTGAGAATCAGTGTTATTGCATGAGTATGCCTCCATGCCAACATGTTTTTCTTGGTGGCGATCAGATGTTGCCGTCTTGATATTCTTCCTCCTCCTGTTCTTCCCTTTTCTGTTCCGCTTTCTCTTTAGGTAAGCCAAGGCAAGATGGAAAGTATAGCAGATAAAGCCCTCACTGGGTGCATGTTCCACGTGCTTCTGAAGGGCCTCTAAGCTGGGGAAGATCCGGTAGCAGCTCACACACTGGAAGCCACTGCCCAGGTCTGCCAGCCTTTCAGGTGTCTTGGCCTTGGAACGTTCCTCCAAAGCTTGAGGTTCTGCTGGACCTTCAGCCCTCTCCCTTCCATCTCTGACTTGGATATCCAAACCGGATTCTCTGTCAGGCAGGAGCTCCTTTGCAGTCACTTGAGAGGGGGTGAATGTCGCATGGGTTTCTTCAGGACAGGTAATTTCTTCCATCTGCATCTTCTTTTCGGGGGGCTCCAGTTCTTCCTCTGTATCCTGTAAGGGAGCCACATCCTTTTCCATTTGAACCTGCATGTAGTAAATTTCCATGACTCTTTTCTTTTTTGTAGGTACTGATGACATAAATGACTTATTACTATTAACCAAATTAACTGGAAGAGAGACTTGTGGGAAAGGGGACGAAGTCTCTCCTTGTTCCAAATCCAGGGCTGAAGGCATCTCAGTGGATTCAAGACAAGAAACATCTTGATATGATTGTTTGCTTCCTAGCAAAGAAAATTTCAAGCATTAGAAAACTGGGATCAAGTATGTGAAGTCTATAGAAGTTGAGATGGCTGTGAAAACACTTCTATATGGGCATGTGGAGTGAAAGTACATATATATGTGATATTTCAGAATTCTGTGTGTGGGATGTTATATTTGGACTTCATGTATGCTATAAGTATCTGGGAATGGGGGTATGATGTATGTATGTTCTGGGGCATACATGGCATGTCTAATGGTGAAAGGGGATGGTGAATAGGTATCTGTGTGTGGTATGTGGTGTTTCAGTATACATAAGCAAGAGTGGTACATGTTCTTATTGTGAGATAATAAGACTTTGAGGAACTATCTGTGACTTCTCAGAATGTGTCTTTCTATGAAGGATTGAAGGTTTTGTGGGTGAAGTGGTGATTAGATTAAGACTATATATGAAAGTGTATTCCCTTCAGGGCATATGAATTTTCTTGCTTGACCTAGCATATAGTGAGTTAAAAGAGGTCATATGTGTAAAGATATGTGAATTATTTATGGGATCAGTGTGTAAAGATGAATCTGAAAATGGGCGAAAGAATGAGGTATAAATGTATAGCTATGTAATGCTATTAGAGAGTGGGAAAGACAGATGGAGGAATGAAGTTGTGTGTATCTGAGAGTAAAAGAGAAAGGAAGGAGAAACAGGGCCATACTTGGTACGAAGGACTCTGTGCATGCTGTATGAGTGAGTATGAGGATATGAGTTTGTGCTGATCTAAGGGGAAGGTCCTGATTAAGTTCCCATGGGCATATCAACACTGCCCCCTACCTCACTAATAGCTATCCCAGAGTTCACATGCTGAAAATCAGTGCTGAGAAACTCTGTCTTATTCTTGAAGGCACACTCCTTATTTTTCCCTTGGCAGAGATTTCAATTCTAGTCCCTCTGCCCTGACTTCCCTTGTTTTCAAAGATAAAGTAAAGTAGGGATGAGGCTAAGCAATTCAACTGCACCCCCTTTCCAAGCTCAGAGTCCACCTCTACATCTTCCTTACCATCCTCATCAGAAAAGCCAAGCTCACTTTCGGAGGAGACACAAGAGAAATATCCTGTAGAGGCAGAGGAAGTTTCTCCTATTATATGACTAGAGGCTGGGACCATCACAAATGACTCCGGCTGAGAACCATCCTCCTGAGACGACCAGGAATCTAGGGGATTGAATAAAAAAAAACAAAAAATGAGAAGTGACATTTTCTGGGATCTGTGTCCATTCCAAAAATGACACAATGAATGGATATTATATGTCAAATATTTCTACCACATGAGTCTTACTTTCATAGATATTGGGGTGACTATCCTGTGAGAAACTCCACTTACTCCAAAATGTAAATAAACAATGATCAAAATGGTGTGTGTGGTGTGTCAGGGATGTTGTGTATCTTGTATGTATTTCTAGAGATGTATACAGAACATCAAAAACTTAGGCCCATGCCTGAAATACAGTATATAGTCATGAAATTTTGGATATTATTAACTCAATTTTCCTCATCGGAAATTATTCCATAGGGGATACAGGATACAAGTTTTTCATTATTCTGCATATATGCCTAACTCTATATTTACATTGAAATCTATATTGATGTACATATACAGAGAGATATAAACACACACACATATATATGGAAAGAGAGACAGATACATAGATATAGATATTGTAAACTAAAGAATGTCTCTCTCCATCTAACCCTACAAGGATTAGGCCATGAGCCACTGCAGTTGCTGACCTTTATCATACCCTAAAAGGAGTTCACAGTGGAGATCAGAAAAGAGGCACTCTGTGCTGCAGGTCCTCAGACAGTTATTTTAATGACAAAATTTTACAGACCCAGTGTTTTGCATCTTCTCACACCTAGAAAAGTACTAAAGTCATTCATAGAGATATGTGCTCCTCATGACTAGTAGCAACCTTCTTGTGACAGGAAGAAACTTTTTACCAAGGTGTGTGTTTGACATGTATGTACCCTCTTCATCAAAAGCACATATATAATGACCATCCGTCACCTCTTTGGAGCAGTCCCTCAGTGTTATCTGTCTCCTGATCTATAGTTGTCAGGAAGGCCCCAGGAAAACAATTCATATGTTGTGAGTTGTTGCGCTTTTATCTTTCTGTCAGCAATGCCATTTTTTTTTTCGGAGTTCTCTAGGAATTGGCCATGGTGTTGGAGATGTTCAAATAAAGACTTCATAGACTTTCCCTCAACTCCTAAAAATGCATTTCTACATTTCTCTTCAGTTTGTAACCTTTCCATTCATATCTTTTAGAGTCTCTTTCAAAGAAGACAGGGGACACCTCCGTGGTACATTTCTTCCCACTGATCAGAAACAGAGACCTTAAACACCCATTGAGAAAATGGGTTAACAATGGCCATGACTGGCTTCCCTGCTGGCTCAGCTGGTAAAGAATCTGCCTACAATGTGGGAGATCTGGGTTGGATCCCTGGGTTGGGAAGATTCCCCTGAAGAAGGGAAAGGTTATCTACTTCAGTATTCTGGCCTGGGAATTCCATCAACTGTACAGTCCATAGGGTCGCAAAGAGTCAGACAAGACTGAGCGACTTTCACTTTTCATGGCCATGGTTGAGCAAAGGAGGTCAGTTCCAATTCTAGACCATCATGCCGACCCACTGCCCTGTCTGATTCCTTCTCAGCACCTCCTCTTTTCCACACCTGTACCACCATGAATAAGTCTGTCTACAGAAGAGACACAGGAGACGTCCTCTCAGTCTGAATCCTCAGCTGTCTGGCTGTGGCCATGGGTCAAACTCCAGAGAGCAGAGTTTCTTCTGAGCCCATGATATTATTTCCCTTCAACAAACACTGAAGAAATACAGTGTACAACAACACACATGGCACTTATCGTCATGAAATTTATGGTCTGGTTTTCGTCCAAAGTTCCAAAATTTAGGTATACAAATATATATGCTGGAATCATGTGGCTGATTGCCTATGAGTGGCCTGTGTTATTTCCTTCACTTTATGAGAGGTTCCATTTCTTGCATGTTGTCAGGTACATGTTGTTATTCCTAGTCTATTTACCAGAAGAATAAATTCAGTGTAAGTACATAGGTAAAGCACATCAGATTGTCAGCTATGGATGATCATATAAAAATCCATTGCTTCCTGAAAGAGTTAGAATTCACAGAAAAGAATCTACTGACATCTATTCCTAGTCCCCAGCTCCACCTTTCACTTATTTGTTCTTGTGGAACCTTACTCAGAGACCTGAGTTGCCAGAACTTTGAGGGAACTGCTGGGTTCTAAGGTTGAGTAGGAGACTGCAGCAGGATGTCGAGGGTTGACTCCAGACTTTTAACTCCCAACGTTGGCCACAGCTCCATTCTCAGGAACTAACTTGGTCATCAACTAACAGGTCATCACATGGCGTAGTCAGTGATGTCACCTTTCTGAGTGATCTCTGCCGACAGGTCTCTGACTCAGCTTTTCATCTATACTCACCATAATCATAGCCTATCTTGAAACCTCATCAATTTACAGATGAATTCTAGGTTCTTGGAATGTCCCCAAATAAATTTTGTATTTCTTGAATCACCTCTATCAGTGATCTAAACATATCAAAAACACCCCCAGTCACTTTTCTTACTTCCTCTTAATCTAAGTCCCCAATGGAAAGGACTATACCTTTAAATACACAAGCTTCAGCAAATAGGTAAATTCTTGTTCCTGATAAAATAATAAACACATTAAATCACTCCCTCTGTTTTAAAGTTTTAATTAAGATTATACCAAAATTTTTAATTCTCAAATATATCTACTTTGTCTCTTAGGTCACTGAGGATGTCTGGTGGGTTATGTTAGTGTGGGAATGGGAAAATGTGGTGTGTATGCTATAATTTTTAGAATTGCCTTGTATGTCATATTTACTGAGCACAGTTTGATATGTATGTCTGTCAAGCTTTTTCAATAATTTTACATAGTGAATGTGGGGATGAGATGGTCATTGTATGTGAAAGTAGTATGAATATGATGTGTTGGGTCACACTGCAACAGACTGCAGCCACGAAATTAAGACACTTGACCCTTGGAAGAAAAGCTATGACAAACCTAGAAAGCAGAGACATTACTTTGCTGACAAAGGTCCATATAGTCAAAGTTATAGTTTTTTGGATGGATGTGAGAGTTGAACCATAAAGAAAGCTGAGCACTGAAGAATTAATGCTTTTGAACTGCAGTGTTGGAGAGGACTCTTGAGAGTCCCCTGGAATGCAAGGAGGTCAAACCAATCAATCCTAAAGGAAATAAACCCTGAATATTCATTGGAGGGACTGATGCTAAGGCTGAAGCTCTAATACTTTGCCCACCTGATGCAAAGACCCGACTTATTGGACAAGACCCTGATTCTGGGAAAGACTGAAGGCAGGAGGAGAAGGGAACGACAGAGGATGAGATGGTTGGATGGCATCACCGACTCAATGGACATGAGTTTGAGCAAACTCCGGGAGATGGTAAAGGACAGGGAAGTCTGGCATGCTGCAGTCCATGGGGTCACAGAGAGTCAGACACAAGTGGGTACTGAACAACAAAGGCAGTATGTCTCTCCTGCATCATGAGTGAGCTGTGTCATGTACTATTAAAGATCAAGTAGTTATCTACCTGTTTGATTTATGAGAGAGTGTGTAGGTGTGAGTAATTTTGTGAATCCTGCTGTGACCATGAGAGTGTTACATACTGACCATATGAAGGATACATGTGAGGGAGATCATGTGAGCCCCAGGCTGTGGAATTATGTGAAGGAACTAAGGAACTGGGAACAGACAGGACTTTTAGAAGGTATCACATGATGCTTTGAATATTTAATACTTTATTTTTCATAGTTTTTGACTTTAAAAAGTCTTAATTTCACCCTTTTTTGTAGAAGAGTGACTGTTTCTTAAACAAACTACTTTACATTGTTGACATTAGGTTTGTATTTCTATCATCTGAATTACTATGAGAAGCTTAAAGTCTGACAATATCATTCTTCTGTAATTATTCTGTGTTCCTCTCTAGTTTTGTTAAGGTCTCTGCTATTGGGATTCTGAATTTGTGATACAGTGTACCAAGGTACAGATTTTTCTTTTTCCTATTCTGTAATGAGTTTTCTAATGTTTAATTCCCAAGGATTTAGGTCTTTCATCAGTTCTGAGAAGTGCTGAGCCATCATCCCTTTGATTATCTGTCTTATTTTCCTTGTTTTACTCAGAAAATTTTATTCAGAAACCTTAAAACATCATATTTTCACATTTTACCCTCTTTTGTCTTAATCCTTCCTTTATAACTCCATCTATTTCTCTGACTTATATGTAGGTAATATTTCAGCTCTATCATCCTGTTCATCAGTTTTCTTTTTATCTATGTCTAATTTGCTGTTTAACTCATATACATATTTTATAAGATTTAGAACAACACTTTTTAATTTCTACAACTACTATTTGGCTATTTTTAATGTTTTTTTCTTGACTGGGTTTTGTATTTTTACAATTTTAATAATTTTGAACATTCTTAGTTACTATTCTTACAAGATTGTTCAATTAAATTATCTTTACGGTTAAAACTTTCTGTTCATATTACAATCTACCTTAGAGTTATATTTTATAGTTTTAGAGTGTGAACTCATTTTCAGCAAGTCATTATCTATAGGACTATTCAAACTGGTAGACTGGCAATCCAGAACTCTTACATTTTCTGCTGTCAGATATTCAGTTCAGTTCAGTTGCTCAGCCACGTCCGACTCTTTGAGACCCCATGAAACGCAGTACCCCAGGCCTCCCTGTTCATCACCAACTCCTGGAGTCCACCCAAACCCATGTCCATAGCGTTGGTGATGGCATCCAACAATCTCATCCTCTGTCGTCCCCTTCTCCTCCTGCCTTCAATCTTTCCTAGCATCAGGGTCTTTTTCAGTGAGTCAACTCTTCACATGAGGTGGCCAAAGTACTGGAGTTTCACTTTCAACATCAGTCCTTCCAATGAATACCCTAGGACTCATCTCCTTGAAGATGGACTGGTTCGACGCTCAAATTAGAGAGAAAGAAAAGACTATGACTGGACCTCAAGTACATCTTTCCCCCAGGGGCTATGTAGAAATGTTGAGCTGCATTTCTATAGATATGCTCAAACACCCATTGCTCTGATCTGCATTCTTCCTTTATCCTTACCAGCAAAGGAGGGAGCACAGAAAGGGGACTCCCAGGAGACGTATTCTAATTCAGAGGCCACCTCTCCTCCCTCAGGGTTCAGGACATTGGACTCCAAAGAGCCCACTGATGGTAGATCATATTCATGTGATTTTGAGGTTTCTAGAATATGGAATAAAAGTCATAAGAATATTAGTTCAATTCTGTTCTTATACATTCTTCTCCCTAATCTACTTTCCCCACCAACTCCATGGAGATACTTATTTGTACTGAATCTTTAACATGGGTGGAGAATTGCCATATTTCAGTAATCTGTGCTTCCATCTGGCTCCAGACAGCAAAGCACCACATACTTACTTACCTTGGTTAAGATTTTTGGTATCATTTATCTCCCTCTACATTTACCTATGGATTCTATCTCATAGAGATGTACAACCTAAAATGAAACAGTAGACGAGTTTTTAAAAGTTAACTACACTCAATTATTTTGTCACTGTTTCAACATTAACCAACTTCAGTGCCCATTGGTTGACGTGTGTGTATGCTAAGTCACCTTAGGCATGTCAAACTCTTTTGACCCCATGGAGTATAGCCCCTAGGCTCCTATGTCCATGGGATTCTCCAGGCAAGAATACTGAAGTGGGCTGCCATGAGCTCCTCCAGGGGATATTCCAGATTCAGGGATGGAACTTGTATCTCTGAATCTTCTGCACTGGCAGGCAGATTCTTTACCGCTAGTACCGCCTGAGAAGCCATGTGGCTTCAGTTTAGCTCAGTGGCTCAGTTGCATCTGACTCTCTGTGACCCCATGGACTGCAGCACACCAGGCCTCCCTGTCCATCACCAACTCCCAGAGTTTATTCAAATTCATGTTCACTGAGTCAGTGATGCCATCCAACCATCTCATCCTCTGTCATGCCCTTCTCCTCCTGCCCTCAATCTTTCCCAGCATCAAGGTCTTTTGAAACGAGTCATCTCTTTACATCAGGTGGCCCAAAAAATTGAAGTTTCAGCTTCAACATCAGTCCTTCCAGTGAATATTCAGGACTAATTTCCTTTAGGATGGACTGGTTTGATCTCCTTGCTGTCCAAGGTACTCTCAGGAGTCTTCTCCAAACACCACAGTTCAAAAGTATCAATTCTGCGGCACTCAGCTTTCTTTATAGTCAACTCTCACATCCATACATGACAACTGGAAAAACCAAAGCCTGACTAGACAGAACTTGTTGGTAAAGTAATGCCTCTAGCTTTTGAATGTGCTGTCTAGCTTGGTCATAACTTTCTTTGTAAGGAGCAAACATCTTTTAATTTCATGGCTGCAGCCACCATCTGCAGTGATTTTGGAGCCCAAAAGAAGAAAGTCTGGCACTGCTTTCATTGTCTCCCCATCTATTTGCCCTGAAGTGATGGGACCGGATGCCATGATCTCAGTTTTCTGAATGGTGAGTTGTAAGACAACTTTTTCACTCTCCTCTTTCACTTTCATCAAGAGGCTCTTTAGTTCTTCTTCACTTTCTGCCTTAAGGGTGGTGTCATCTTCATAGGTTAATGATATTTCTCCCAGCAATCTTGATTCCAGCTTGTGCTTCATCTAGCCCAGCGTTTCTCATGATGTACTCTGCATAGAAGGTAAATAAGCAGTGTAATAATATAAAACCTTGACATACTCCTTTTCCTATTTGGAACCAGTCTGTTGTTCCATGTCCCATTCTAACTGTCCCTTCCTGACCTGGATACAGGTTTCTCAAGAGGCAAGTCAGGTGGTCTGATGTGCCCATCTCTTTCAGAATTTTCCACAGTTTATTGTGATCCAGACAGTCAAAGGCTTTGGCATAGTCAATAAAACAGGAATAGATGTTTTTCTGGAACTCTCTTGCTTTTTCGATGATCAGCAGATGTTGGCAATTTGATCTCTGGTTCCTCTGCCTTACTGGAGTATATTAGCAACAATTTTGTATTATATTAATTCTTCACTCTGAGGTTTAACTAATTATATAACAATTGTGGACATTGTGCCTTGATAAATGACCTTTTTTCCCTAAAGATATGCACAGGGTTCCTCACCTACCTCCCAAAAAAGTGAAAAGTATTTTTGATGAGTTCCTATGATGGAACAGAGAGACCTAGACTCCCAAATTAGAGAGAAAGAAAAGACTATGACTGGACCTCAAGTACATCTTTCCCCCAGGGGCTATGTAGAAATGTTGAGCTGCATTTCTATAGATATGCTCAAACACCCATTGCTCTGATCTGCATTCTTCCTTTATCCTTACCAGCAAAGGAGGGAGCACAGAAAGGGGACTCCCAGGAGACGTATTCTAATTCAGAGGCCACCTCTCCTCCCTCAGGGTTCAGGACATTGGACTCCAAAGAGCCCACTGATGGTAGATCATATTCATGTGATTTTGAGGTTTCTAGAATATGGAATAAAAGTCATAAGAATATTAGTTCAATTCTGTTCTTATACATTCTTCTCCCTAATCTACTTTCCCCACCAACTCCATGGAGATACTTATTTGTACTGAATCTTTAACATGGGTGGAGAATTGCCATATTTCAGTAATCTGTGCTTCCATCTGGCTCCAGACAGCAAAGCACCACATACTTACTTACCTTGGTTAAGATTTTTGGTATCATTTATCTCCCTCTACATTTACCTATGGATTCTATCTCATAGAGATGTACAACCTAAAATGAAACAGTAGACGAGTTTTTAAAAGTTAACTACACTCAATTATTTTGTCACTGTTTCAACATTAACCAACTTCAGTGCCCATTGGTTGACGTGTGTGTATGCTAAGTCACCTTAGGCATGTCAAACTCTTTTGACCCCATGGAGTATAGCCCCTAGGCTCCTATGTCCATGGGATTCTCCAGGCAAGAATACTGAAGTGGGCTGCCATGAGCTCCTCCAGGGGATATTCCAGATTCAGGGATGGAACTTGTATCTCTGAATCTTCTGCACTGGCAGGCAGATTCTTTACCGCTAGTACCGCCTGAGAAGCCATGTGGCTTCAGTTTAGCTCAGTGGCTCAGTTGCATCTGACTCTCTGTGACCCCATGGACTGCAGCACACCAGGCCTCCCTGTCCATCACCAACTCCCAGAGTTTATTCAAATTCATGTTCACTGAGTCAGTGATGCCATCCAACCATCTCATCCTCTGTCATGCCCTTCTCCTCCTGCCCTCAATCTTTCCCAGCATCAAGGTCTTTTGAAACGAGTCATCTCTTTACATCAGGTGGCCCAAAAAATTGAAGTTTCAGCTTCAACATCAGTCCTTCCAGTGAATATTCAGGACTAATTTCCTTTAGGATGGACTGGTTTGATCTCCTTGCTGTCCAAGGTACTCTCAGGAGTCTTCTCCAAACACCACAGTTCAAAAGTATCAATTCTGCGGCACTCAGCTTTCTTTATAGTCAACTCTCACATCCATACATGACAACTGGAAAAACCAAAGCCTGACTAGACAGAACTTGTTGGTAAAGTAATGCCTCTAGCTTTTGAATGTGCTGTCTAGCTTGGTCATAACTTTCTTTGTAAGGAGCAAACATCTTTTAATTTCATGGCTGCAGTCACCATCTGCAGTGATTTTGGAGCCCAAAAGAAGAAAGTCTGGCACTGCTTCCATTGTCTCCCCATCTATTTGCCATGAAGTGATGGGACCGGATGCCATGATCTCAGTTTTCTGAATGGTGAGTTGTAAGACAACTTTTTCACTCTCTTCTTTCACTTTCATCAGGAGCCTCTTTAGTTCTTCTTCACTTTCTGCCATAAGGGTGTTGTCATCTGCATATGAGAGGTTATTGATATTTCTCCCAGCACTCTTGATTCCAGCTTGTGCTTCCTGCAGCCCAGTGTTTCTCACGATGTACTCTGCATGTAAGTTAAATAAGCAGGGTGACAATATACAGCCTTGACGTACTGCTTTTCCTATTGGAACTAGTCTTTTGTTCTATCTCCAGGTGTAACTGTTGCTTCCTGACCTGCATACAGATTTCTTAAGAGGCAAGTCAGGTGGTCTGGTATTCCCATAACTTTCAGAATTTTCCACAGTTTATTGTGAGCTACAGAGTCAAAGGCTTTGGCATAGTCAATAAAGCAGAAATAGATGTTTTTCCAGAACTCTTGCTTTTTCGATGATCCAGCAGATGTTGGCAATTTGATCTCTGGTTCCTCTGCCTTTTCTAAAACCAGCTTGAACATCTGGAAGTTCACAGTTCATGTATTGTTGAAGCCTGACTTGGAGAATTTTGAGCATTACTTTACTAGCGTGTGTGATGAGTGCAACTGTGTGGTAGTTTGAGCATTCTTTGGCATTGCCTTTGTTTGGGATTAGAATGAAAACTGACCTTTTCTAGTCCTGTGGCCACTGCTGAGTTCCCAAATTTGCTGGCATATTGAGTGCAGCACTTTCACAGCATCACCTTTTAGGATTTGAAATAACTCAACTGGAATTCTATCACCTCCACTAGTATTGTTTGTAGTGATGCTTCCTAAGGTCCACTTGACTTCACATTTTAGGATGTCTGGCTCTAGGTGAGTGATCACACCATTGTGATTATCTGGGCCGTGAAGGTCTTTTTTGTACAGTTCTGTGTATTCTTGCCACCTCTTCTTAATATCTTCTGCTCCTGTTAGGTCTATACCATTTCTGTCCTTTGTTGAGCCCATCTTTTCATGAAATGTTCCCTTGGTATCTCTAATTTTCTTGAAGAGATCTCTAGTCTTTCCCATTCTATTGTTTTCCTCTATTTCTTTGCATTGATCTCTGAGGAAGGCTTTCTTATCTCTCCTTGCTATTCTTTGGAACTCTGCATTCAAATGGGAATATCTTTACTCTCTTTTGCTTTTCACTTCTCTTCTTTTCTCAGCTATTTGTAAGTCCTCCTCAGAAAGCCATTTTGCCTTTGTGCATTGCTTTTTCTTGGGGATGGTCTTGATCCCTGTTTCCTGTACAATGTCACAAACATCTATCCATAGTTCATCAGGTACTCTAGCAGATCTAGTCCCTTAAATCTATTTCTCACTTCCACTACATAATCATAAGGGATTTGATTTGTGTCATACCTAATGGTGACACATACCTTAATGTGTCATACCTAAAAGTGCTTCCCTTCTTTCTTCAATTTAAGTCTAAGTTTGGCAATAAGGATTTCATGATATGAGCCACAATCAGCTCCTGGTCTGTCTCTATAGAGCTTCTCTATCTGCGGCTGCAAAGAATATAATCAATCCAATTACAGTGTTGGCCATCTGGTGATGTCCATGTGGAGAGTCTTCTCTTGTGTTGTTTGGAGCTATGACCAGTGCGTACTCTTGGAAAAACTCTGTTAGCCTTTGCCCTGCTTCATTCTCTACTCCAAGGCCAAATTGCCTGTTACTGCAGGTGTTTCTTGACATCCTACTTTTGCATTCCAGTCCCCTATAATGAAAAGGACATCTTTTTTGGGTGTTAGATCTAGAAGGTCTTTGTGGTCTTCATATAACCATTCAACTTTGCTTCTTCAGCATTACTGGTCAGGGCTTAGACTTGGATTATTGTGATATTGAATGGTTTGCCTTCAAAACAAACAGAGATCATTCTGTCATTATTGATACTGCATCCAAGTACTGTGTGTCTTGCTGACCATGATGGCTACTCCGTTTCTTCTAAGGGATTCCTGCCCACAGTAGTAGATATAATGGCCATCTGAGTTAAATTCACTCTTTTCAGTCCATTTTAGTTCACTGATTCCTAAAATGTTGACATTCACTCTTTCCATCCCGTTTTACTACTTTCAGTTTGCCTTGATTCATGGACCTAACATTCCAGGTTCCTATGCAATATTGCTTAGCAGTTTAACTCTCAAGTATTCACCCACCAGAAATATGTCATAAAGGCAAAATATACATAATATAATATTCATATCACTGTTTATAGTAGCCCCAGAATGAAAAGAACGCAAATGCTTCAATGGAAGATATACATCAAGAATGAAGAAACTAAAATTCCAGGCAACATGAAGTTCACAAATATAGACATGAGTGAAACCAGGCACAAAGTATAAATTTTACACTTCTATTTACATGAATTTAAAAAAAAGATAATTAGTCTAGAATTTTTGAAGTCAGAGAAATTATCACTCTTTGTACCTACCAGGACAAAAATAGAGCACAGACACTTTGGGTGCATGTGGAATATTGTAAGAAAATGAATGATGAGGATAGCTCGTGCAGATGGGTCTGTATATGGATGAATGTGTGAGCACTGGATGTGATGGATGTAATGTGGTCCTGAACTAGACGACCTCATCTCAAGACTAGATCTTGAGGAAACCACTATATTTTGCCTATTTTATTCATTTTTATTTGGAGAATGATTGCTTTACAATGTTTTGCTGGGTTCTTCTGTACAACAGTGTAAATCAGCTCTAAGTATACATATGTCACCTCCCCCCTGAACCCCCCTCCCACTCTCCACCACATTCCAGCCCTCTATTATGTCACAGAGCACAGGTTTGGGCTCCCTGCATTATACAGCATCTTCTCACTAGTATCTATTTTACACCAGTAATATATATATTTCAGTGCTGTTCTTTCAATTCATCCCACCCTCTACTTCCCCCACTGTGCCCACAAATATATCCTCTGTTGACATCTCTATTGCTGCCCTGCAAACAGGTTCATTGGTACCGTTTTCTAGATACCATATATATACATTAATATACAATATTTGTTTTTGTCTTTGACTTACTTCACTCTCTATAACAGGCTCTAGGTTCATACACCTCACTAGAACCAACTCACATTCATTCCTTTTTATGGCTAAATAATACTAAATGCACACATATAACTATACATATACCACAACTTCTTTAACCACTCATCTGTCAATGGACATCTAGGTTGCTTCCATGTCCTAGCTACTATAGACAGTGATGCAATAAACACTGGAGGTACATGTGTCTTTTTGAATTGTGATTTTCTCAGGGTATATGCCCAGTAGTAAGATTGCTGGGTCATATGGTAGGTAGCTTTATTCTTAGTGTTTTAAGTTCTCCAGAGTGCCTGTATCAATTTACACTCTCACCAACTGTACAAGAGAGTTTCCTTTTCTCCACACCCTCTCCAGCATTTATTGTTAGTAGATTTTTTTGATATTGGCCATTCTGACCTGTGTGAGGAGATATCTCACTGTAATTTTGACTTGCACTTCTCTAATGAATGACGTTGAACATTTTTTCATGTGTTTATTGATCATTTGTATGTCTTCTTTGGAGAAATGTCCACTTATTTGTCTGTTTTAAACTGTTACTGCTTTCACACCTTCCTCATGATGTAACATGCCCTTGGAAATATTAAATTCCTTTCATGGGTAAGAGTTATCGCTCAAAGCTTTAGGGTAGGCTCCAATTTGCCTTTCTCCTCTCATT